AACCCATCCAGCTCCCAGCTGTGGTAAGGGCAGCCACCAGGCACCCTCCTCCTTGCAGCAAAGGACCTGTAGAAGCAGGGCGCATGCACAGGGTGGGGATAACTGGTCCACCAGGGTCCTTCTGACACCAACCATGTGCCGGGTGGGGAGCCTTGGGAGAGCGTGCTTTCCCATCCTAGAGATGGTTAAAGCAAGGCTTGAGTGCTCTTCACGGTGGCTTGAGCTACACGTTTTTCTATGCGTGTCTGTGTGTGCATAAAACAGAAAGGCTGGCCTGGAGAGATGGCTGCTCTCTCTTCCAGAGGTCCTGAGTACCATTCCCAGCACCCACACCGTGGCTCACAACTATCTATTATGAGATCTAATGCCCTCTTCTGGCCTAAAGGCATACGTTCAGGCTTAGCATTGTACACATAATAAATAACTCTTAAAGACAAACAAACCTAAACGAAAAGGCTGGGAATCAGAATTAGTGCTCCAGAATCAGTGCTTGGGAGTGTAGCTCAGTTGATAGAGTGCTCGCTTGGCATTCACAAAGCCCTGGGTTCAAACCCCAGCACCTCATAAATCTAATGTGGTGGCACACACCTGTGACCCCAGCACTCAGGAGGTGAAAACAGACGGATGAGAAATTCAAAGTCAATCATGGCTACATAGCGAGTTCGAGGACAGGCTAGGATACATGAAAAGCAAAACAAAAATGCAAATTAACGAAACCCCTCAGAATTAGTGCCCCACTTCTTGGTTCATCCCACAAGATGATTCTTCCATTTAAGAGGTCTATGAACTGAATTTAAAAGCATGTTTCAGCTGACGGTAGTGGTGCACGCCTCTAATCCTAGCTCTTAGGTGGCAGAGACAGGTGAAGCTCTAAATTCGAAGCCAGCCTGGTCTCCAGAGCGAGTTCCAGGACAGCCAAGGCTACACAGAGAAACCCTGTCTCAAAAAACAAACAAACAAAACAAAACAAAACAAAAGCCATGTTCCACACTCCTGTGCTGGAGTTGACACATTTTCCCCAAATCACGAATTAGTGGCTATGTTTGTTTCATGGAGTCGCCTTTACAAACTGCCATCAACGGAATGATTAAACACAAACAAACAACAAACAGAAATGGTACTCCATGTATTGGAGCATATCTGCAAACCCAGCACTCAGGAGGCTAAGGCAGGAGGATGGCTGTGAGTCTGAATCCAGCTTGAGCTACCTAACAAAACCCTGTCCAAAAAAAAAAGGAGAAAAACAAAATCCACTGACCCACAAAATCTAGACAAGTATCATCTCAGGCGGTACTGCTGAAGTTAGCAGCAGAGCCATGCTCTGTCCGAAGGTTTAGTTAAAAAAAAAAAAAAAGCCATTCTTGTATACAGCTCCTGGTGACAGCAGAAGTCTTTAATGTCCAAGTTGTAGATGTATCTGGTGGGTCACTCTGGATCCTGGACTTGTTTCTCTGTGTATGTCTGTGTCCTGATTGCTTGCTCTGATTAGAGCACCAGGCTTACTTTATGACCTGTTTCGAAATAAGGTCCTATTTACAGTTACCAACGGTCCGTCCTTTAACCTTTCTTTTGGAGGTAGGGGCATAATTCAACTCAACAGAAATGGATACATTGTCCATGCAGTGGTAGCCTGTAGCAAGTGATAAGACTTAGTGCATGTCTTTAATTCCAACCTCCCGGGAAGTATAGGCAGGATCTCTGTGAGTCTGAGTCCAGCATGCTCTAGGTAGTGAGTTCCAGGATAGCCAGAGCTACATAGTGAGACTCTGTCTCACAAAAACAAAAAGCAAAGTAATGAGACTTGATCTCAAGATAAAAACTGAAAAGAAGGCTGGCGATGTAGTTCAGTGGTAGAGCCCCTGCCTAGAATCCCCCAGTGAGGGGCTGGGGGCGTGGCTCAGTGGTAGAGCCCCTGCCTAGAATCCCCCAGTGAGGGGCTGGGGGCGTGGCTCAGTGGTAGAGCCCCTGCCTAGAATCCCCCAGTGAGGGGCTGGGGGCGTGGCTCAGTGGTAGAGCCCCTGCCTAGAATCCCCCAGTGAGGGGCTGGGGGCGTGGCTCAGTGGTAGAGCGTTTAGCTAATATGCATGCAAGAGGATTTGGTTAAATGCCCAGTAAAGGGGAAAAGAAAGTCAGTAGAGAAGCCCGGTATTGCCTTTCTGTGGGCTCATCCTCTGCAGCCCCCTCCTGCCTGTCTTGTTTCTACAAGCACTTGAGTTCACACATTCTAAGGTGATGAAAATCTTGGGAAATCCTGTAGCAAAGAAACCCTTTCAACTTGCCTCAGGGTAGCTTTCACCACTTTTCTCTCAATGCATCTTCCATTCCCCCCACCCCCCGCCACTCCTGGGGAACTGTCTATGATGGGAACTGTCCAGCCCTCGTGGGACTGCCCTTACTGGGAGTTTACCCATTTTAGGAGGTCCATCTCATTCTGGCTGCACCCGGACTTTCCTGAACACGAAGCTGGGCCTGCCCGTGGGCCTGGTTCTGCAGCTTACCCTGCTCCATGAGGGCTCTTCCTAGCACAGCCCACTCGGGGCAGGCGCAGCCCATGGCAGTAACTGGGAGTCACATCTGTAGCAGACCCCACACCAACAATGACCTCTAAAGCTCAAGCTTCATTCCTCAGCCAAGGCAGGATGCTGGAGAGTCACAGTGACAAAAAGGCATGCCTCAGGTCACAGTGTGAGTAGGATTGGCAGAGCTGGCCTGGGAGCTCAGGGCTCTAACCACATGGCCTGCCTGTGGTGGCTGTTGCTTCAGCCCTGCTTCACGGGGACATGGTTTCCAGTCCCCTCCCACCAGGGCCACCAGAGACCCCGCAGCAGGTGTGCCTCATTCGCTTGGTAGCACACAGCACAGGGACTTGGGGCTCCTCTCACAGGGCATTGGCTCTGGTCCCATTTTCCTCCCTGAGTTACTCTCTTCCTCTTCATCCATCACACCCAACTCAAATCCCCCACGTTTGTGTGAGCTTTCCTGTTAAGGTTGTGTCTGCGTATGACTGGGAACTACCTTTCAACAGAGTACAGGAAAGAGGAGAGGTAGGCGCCTGGTGTGAGACTGGCCATCCCATCACCTCGGGAGTGAACCGTGAACACTTCCTGCCTTTGTGCAGCCTCAGGACCACAGCCAGGCTTGATGCTCAGCCACCTGCTGTCCCATCATACGCTCGTGGCTAGATCTCCTTGTCCTTCTCCCCACAAGCCCTTTCCTCTTGCTCATTTCCCTCCCTCCTCCAGAATGAGCCACCCTTGTCCTGGATCTTTCCACTCAGTCCCTCAGCAGGTGCAAAGCTGAATGCAAATTCTAAGAATTCATTCTCATGGGCTGAGTTGCCCTGCGGCCTCATTTGCTCAAGAGTAGTTTGTGCCCCTGTACTGGGCAGCACACAGGGACGGCTCCTCCCACCCTGGCTTGCCCATGGACCTGCTGCTCTAGACCAGCTCCTCTACAGCTTCTACTTCCTTTGCCTGCTCAGCTCTGTCCCTGCAGTCAGCTCACTAACATCCCTAGGCCTCCCTGGGACTTAGGAATGAGTCACAGGCATCTTTGACTCCCAAGAGACTCCCTGGCTTATAGTGAAACGAGAATAACTGAAATGTGTTGCATTTGAAAATACTAAGAAGTCCCACCAAAGCAGTTTAAGAGCTGTGGATATAACATAATAGTAGAGCCCCTGCCTAGAATCCCCCAGTGAGGGGCTGGGGGTGTGGCTCAGTGGTAGAGCCCCTGCCTAGAATCCCCCAGTGAGGGGCTGGGGGCGTGGCTCAGTGGTAGAGCCCCTGCCTAGAATCCCCCAGTGAGGGGCTGGGGGCGTGGCTCAGTGGTAGAGCCCCTGCCTAGAATCCCCCAGTGAGGGGCTGGGGGCGTGGCTCAGTGGTAGAGCCCCTGCCTAGAATCCCCCAGTGAGGGGCTGGGGGCGTGGCTCAGTGGTAGAGCCCCTGCCTAGAATCCCCCAGTGAGGGGCTGGGGGCGTGGCTCAGTGGTAGAGCCCCTGCCTAGAATCCCCCAGTGAGGGGCTGGGGGCGTGGCTCAGTGGTAGAGCCCCTGCCTAGAATCCCCCAGTGAGGGGCTGGGGGCGTGGCTCAGTGGTAGAGCCCCTGCCTAGAATCCCCCAGTGAGGGGCTGGGGGCGTGGCTCAGTGGTAGAGCCCCTGCCTAGAATCCCCCAGTGAGGGGCTGGGGGCGTGGCTCAGTGGTAGAGCCCCTGCCTAGAATCCCCCAGTGAGGGGCTGGGGGCGTGGCTCAGTGGTAGAGCACTTGCCTGGTTTACCTGGTACGCAGCATACAAAACCAGGGTTCAAACCACAATAATAAGCAAAAAAAAAAAAAAAAAAGGTTTATGACCCATCACTTTAAAATTATGTAATAATATAAAATAAAACGGGGAAGTTCCCGTTAGTTAAACTGTTTGGTCTGATGTTTCCCTGCAGTTTCTAAGCTGTGTCTCTGAAAGGACGATTATATTATATACAGTTGGATATTTTGCCTTCATGGTGCCTTCTACAGAGGGAGCTGTGTGGATGTTTAAGTAATCAATGAGGACTGTTTTGTTGTTACAGTTTTTCAATCAAGGAAAAGGGAAGGCATCTCTTCGGGGGAGTATTTCAGAACGCCTGGAGTAGGGGTTGGCATTGACTGAAATTAACTGTGAAAACATTTTGTATTTGTAGACTGGGAAAGGACTGTAGAATGGTACTTAGCAAAAATCTCCTAGGCTGAGAGGGTGTGGTGACTGGCAGTCCCCCCTGTGGGTCTGGTGGAAATTTGGAACCAGGGACATGTCTAGTGTGTGAGGGACTCAGGAAGGCTTTTGGTAGGTGATGGTGGAAGTTCATTGTAGTGAGTCTTTTTCTGTTCTGCCAGCCAGCTCCCAAATAATGACATGAAGACTTCTTATTAATTAGGAAAGTTGGGCCTTAGCTTATGCTTGTCCCACTAGCTCTTGTAACTTAAATTAACCACCTACATACTAATGTATCTTAAGTGATTCAATTATTCATCTACGTTTTACCATGTGGCTTTTACCTCTCTCCCAGTCTCTGTGTCCAACCCGCTCTGCATCTCCATGGCATCTCTGCCCATCTACTTCCCAGAGTCCTCTCTGTGCCTGGAAGTCCCGCCTATACCTCCTGCCTAGCTATTGGCCATTTAGGCCTTTATTAAACCAATCAGAAAGCGCCTTGGCAAAGACACACCTTCGCAGCATACAAAAAGATTATTCCCCAACAGTTCATAGGTGGGTGAGCAGAAGGAAAGATTTGCAGACAGTCGGGAGTGCAAGCATGATTCAAGAAAGCGGGCAGGCTCTAAGGCGGGGTCAAGGGGGTAGGGGAGGCAGTGGAGGCTAAGGACATTGGGCATCATCCAGTCCAAAGCTGAACGCCAGGCAGCTGCAGGACAAGGGGAATGTTTGCCTCAGACCACTGAAAGGGCCTGCTGTAGAATATTGGGCCCAGCTCCACGAATATCTCCTTAATGCCATTCTGGGGCAAGTGAAATGACACCTACATTTCCCTGCTCAAGAGAACAGGTGCACCCACTGACCTAGTTCGAATCTGTGCTTGGGGACTGAGATGACAGAACCCAAACCCCTTCTAACTCCTGGGACCTGAGCATGGGGCAAGACAGGTCCCCAGATAGAAGAGCCGAGCCGTGTTGTTTTAAGACAGGATGGTGGTGCCGGACCTGAAGGTGTGGTGTCAGCACACAGACTTTGCCATGGAGTTCTGAACTTAGTCCCCGCCTACTGATCCCTGCTTCAGAATATGCAGTAACCTGGGAATTTAGTAAGAGGTGACGTGGGCTAGACGACTCAGAACACAAGTTTTTCCACCTGTTGACTGAGTCTCCATTGTTTGTTCTGTGACCCAGCCAGGACCTCACTGGATACTGCTCCTTTAGTGTTTCTTCCTTCCCCAACCCCCTTTTAAGGCAGGAGTCGTGGCAATGCCTTTTTTTTAATTAATTAATTTATTTATTACATATACACTGTTCATGCCTACATGCCAGATCTCGTTATAGATGACTGTGAGCCACCATGTGGTTGCTGGGAATTGAACTCAGGACCTCTGGAAGAGCAGTCAGTGCTCATAATCTCTAAGCCATCTCTTCAGGTGGCAATGCCTTTAATCCCAGCATTCAGGAGGCAGAGGCAGGAAGATCTCTGAGTTTGAGTGCAGCCTGCTTTACAAAGCCAAGGACAGCCAAGTTCCAGACAGCCAAGGCTACACAGAGAAACCCTGTCTCAAAAACCACACACACACACACACAGAGAGAGAGACACACATGCAAAACAAACAAAAATACTTTTCCAGATTTATTTTTATCTTATGGGTACCTGTGTGCATTTATGTGACTATATGCCTTGGTGGGGGCTTGCCTATAGAGGCCAGATGTCCGGAAGCTGAAGTTGTGAGATGCCCTGCTGGGTACAGAACTTGGGTCCTTCTGAAAGAGTAGCAAGTGCTCTCAACCTGAGCCATCTAGGCCGGGTATTGGTGGTGCACGCCTTTAATCCCAGCACTCGGGAGGCAGAGGCAGGCGGATCTCTGTGAGTTCGAGGCCAGCCTGGTCTCCAGAGCGAGTGCCAGGATAGGCTCCGAAGCTACAGAGAGAAACCCTGTCTCAAAAAAACAAGAAAAATAAAAAGACTTGAGCCATCTCTCCAGCCACCTTCCCTTTTTGTTTTGAAACTGAATCCCCATACGTGGCTCAAGCTAGCCTTGAAACTCTTTATAGCCCAGGCTGGCCTTGAACCCTTGCTCCTCCATCTCAGCCTTCCAAATTCTGGGATTGCAGGCATATATATACCCCTGCCTCTGCCTCCTCCCCCACTCTGAGCTCTTCCTAGTGGAGTGACTGGAGTCATCACTTCCGTTCAAGTGGCATTGGTGAAGTCCCTTGTGTAGATCATGACTGCTCATGACTGGCGGCCCTTGAGGGCTGTGTGCCCTGGCAGGGAAACAGACTATAAACCAGCGAGAAGATGGGTGATGTGGAGAGGAAACAAGGCCTCGTGGGAAAGGGAGGGGCCCAGTCTAATGGGGGGTTAGGAGAGATTTCACTGAGAAAATGCCCTTTGAGAGCCGAGGGCTGAGTGAGTCAGTCTTGAAAGAAGCTTGGGGGGCAGGGAGAGGGAACACAGGCAGAGGGAGAAGCAGCTTGACTTGTTCAAGGCTCATGGGAAGCTTTGTGGCTGGAGTAGAGTGGGTAGCACGGCCAGCCTTAGCTATGTGTGAGACACTGTTTCAAAACAAACAAAACAAAACCACTCCAGGCTGGGGATATGGCTTGTTCTATGAAGCACTTGCTGGGAAAGCAGGATGAAGACTGGGGGGGGTCCCCAGGCCCCTTGTAAAATCGCCAGGCTCAGCAGTTCTTACCGGTGTTCCTAGCTCTGGGGAAGCCGGCAACAGGAGAGTCGGGACTCGCTGGCCCGCCAGCCTAGCTGAATTGTTGAGCTTTTGGTTCAGTGAGAGACCCTGTCTCAAAAAATGAAGCAGAGGGGCCGAGGAGATGGCTCAGCGGTTAAGAGCACTGGCTGCTCTTCCAGAGGACCCAGGTTCAAGCCCCAGCACCCACAGTTCACAACTGTCTGTAACACCAACACCCTCACACAGACACACATGCAGGCAAAAAACACCAGTGCTGCACATGAAATAAAAATAAATAAAATTTAAACAATAATAAAGCGGAGAGCAAATGAGGTAGATATATTTATCATTGATCTCCCTCTGGTCCCTACATGCATGTATGCACATGTATACAGGCGTGTGTACACACACACACACACACACACACACACACACACACACAATAATAAGTGCGTAGGGAGGCAGGCACAAGGGAGAAGATTAAGAGAAAGGGACTGAGGCTTTCTAAGGCTAGGAATGGCCGCTCTTCTCTGTAATTCTCACACTCAGGATCCTGATGCAGGAGGAATGCCCCGAGTCTGAGGCCACCTCGGCTACAGTTTGAGAGCCTAACTCACAAAACAGAACACAAGTGTTTTAGCTGGGGGTGTGGCCGGTGAGCATGAGTGTTTGTGTGAGGTCCTGGGTTCCATCTCCAGCACACCTGTAATCCCAGAACTCCCGAGGTAGATAGAGGCAGGAGGACCAGAAGAGTTCAAGACAACCCTTGGGGCAGCCTGTGATGGAACCCAGGTCTAGTCACATGCCGTGCAGGGGGTCTGATCCTTTATGGAGCCATGCTTGCGGTGAGAGGAGGAGGGCCTCTAGAACCCGGAAATAGAATCAAGAGGAGTCATAGGAAGTGGACACATGAGTGGTAGGGGAGGCTTGCACGGGACGGTGACAGTTCGGGAACATGGATTAAATGGGCTAAAAAATGACTCCTGGGATTTTGGCTTCTGGACCTAGATGATTTTCTGAATTAGGAGAGAATCAAGTGTTTCCTGGGACCTGTTGGAACTTAAACCCCACCCACCAGGATCTCACTGTGTAGCCCTGGCTAACCTCAAACTCACTAAGGTCCACCTGCCTCTGCCTCCGGAGAGCTCGGATTAAAGGTGTGCGTCACCACACCTAGCCAGAAGAATCTCTTAGTAACTCAAGTGGACACGGGAAGGTGGAGATCCCAGGCCACCGCTCAGGGGAGCCTGGGTGGGTGCTGGACCTTGTCAGTGATTAAGAAGGGGACAGATAGGAAAGCCAGATGGGACTTCCACCATTGACAGCCCATGATGGGGTACAGTGTGTGAGGAGACAGTGTTGGCTAGAGCCTGTGTGTAACTAATGTGTTCATGTTTCTAAAGTGACATCACTCAGGCCCCAGAGAAGAACTACAGTTTATTCTCATTCTGCAGATTAGAAAGCTGTGGTCCAGATGAAGGGATGACTCAGGACTCCAAAGTCAGACTATTTAACACACCCGTGACCACAAATATTTATCCTTACATGGTGGAAACATGTAAGGTCTTTAGGGGGTGTGTGGCTGTGATAAAGCTTTGGTGGTAGAGCATTTGTCTGGCACGCTTGAGGTCCTGGGATGAACCTCCAGAACTGACAGAAATCATTGTTCTTATTGTTGTTGTTTTCAGTCTCACAAAATCCAGTCTGGGCTGGAAGTTGAAACGTAGCCCAAGCTGACCTCCTCTAACTTTTTATCTTCCTGTCTCTACCTCCCAAGTGCTGGGATCTCAGGCTTATGCCAACACGCCTCACCCTTTCGGCTGTTTGGAAATATGCGACACGTTACTAATTACATTTTCCTGCCATCTAACCGAAACTGTGTACCCTGCTCCCCACCCCCCATGTGCCCTTGTCTAGAACATTATAATAGCTCTTATTCGCTTGGTTCCCACAGTCCGCCTCTCCCTCCTCCTCCTTCTCCTCCTCCAGTCTAGACTTAATTCAATGCCGCGTCCAGAGCTGGTCACAATGTGCCATATTAAAGATGGCCCACATGCCACCGCCCTCCAGCCATGGTGGGGCAGTGCGGCTTTTCGGGGGCGGGAGCCCTGGAGGACAGGACCTTCTGTCCTGTGCACTGGGGTGAGGGGAGGCACCTGGGCCGTCGTCGCAGCTGGCCAGCTCTGGGGCTCTGGACTCCTCCCATTGGCTCCCATATCTTTCATTCTCCCCCCACCCCCGGGGGCACCAAGGCCTGATGAGAAAGTGATTGCTTACACCCCCACCCCCCTTCACCCTTGTAGCCCGTTAGCCATGTATCTGTCTTTCCGTCTGCCTGCAGCAAAGCATAGTCAGTCAGTCTGTCCTGTTGCCTGTTAGGCATGTGCACTGGAGGCTAGAGTTGGTTCCTTCCCAGGCTGGGTGTGGTAGAACCTACCCATTACCCCAGCACTGAGGAGGCAAAGGCAGGAAGATTAACACGTGTGAGGGCAGCTCGCGCTGTATAGTGAGTTCCAGACCAGCCAGGGCTACATAGTAGACTGCGTCTCACAAAAAGGAGAGCAGAAAGGGGCTAGTCTCTTCCCTTTTCAGCTTCAGTGGGGTATGCTAACCCTCCCAGCTGCTTAACCCTCCCAGCTGCTTAGAGGGCAAAGTCGACTTAGGAACTGTGCTACTCAGCATCTCTGACTTCAGCATTTGATGCTGGAGTAGCACGCCCCCAGGTGGTTAAAGAGAGCCGTGCGGCCTCTCTGGGCTGTGGACAGATGGGGCCTCCTACTGGCTATGCCCAGGCCAGAGCCTGCTGGCCACACACTACAATCTCTTTCTTTCACTCCTTTGTTCAGCAGTTAGAGGGAGACCTCCCCAGGCACAGGTGACTTTCTGGTTTTTGTTTTTTGTTGTTTGTTTGGTTTTTTGTTTGTTTGTTTGTTTTGTTTTTTGAGACAGGATTTCTCTGTGGCTTTGGAGGCTGTCCTGGAACTAGCTCTTGTAGACCAGGCTGGTCTCGAACTCACAGAGATCCGCCTGCCTCTGCCTCCCGAGTGCTGGGATTAAAGGTGTGCGCCACCAACGCCCGGCAGCATGGGTGCCTTTCTAGGTGAGGATGAAGTGGACAGTTCTGAGCATCCGTGTTAGCCCGAGAGACAGACAGGAAGCAGTTCCAGCAGGACAGAAAAGAATATGGTGACAGGAAAAGGAAGATATGGGAGCAGGTGGCCGCTCAGCAGAAGAGCGTCTGAGGGAGACTTAAATGCAGTGGGAGGGGTGGTCCTAGCAGGAATAGCAAAGGCCTGGAGGTTTTTTCTGGGTTGAGTGACAAGGAGGAGTTGGCGTGGCTGGACTAGGGTCAGAGGGCAGGAAAGTCACGAGGAGAGGCCTGGGGTGAGCTTGGCTGCGGCAAAGTGTTTGGATTCTGCCTGGTTTCTGCCACATGTGAGGATAAAAGATGGTGGAGGCTGGTGGATTGTGAAAATGCTCTCCTTTGCTGCTGGCATCATCGTAGCCTGTTCGCCACGTTCATAGTAGAAGGAAAAGCCTCATCCACAGCCAGAGGGCGGGAAACAGCAACGTTTCCCATCCAACTTCATGGCTACCTCCCAGTGTGGCTGTGGATGCTTGCTGTCTGTCTTTTTAATTTAAAGAAAAAGTTTATAGATTTTATTTATTTTATGTGAATGACTGTTTTGCCTACATGTACGTCTATGCACCATGTGCGTGCCCAGTGCCCGTGGGTGTGAGAAGAAGGCATCAGATCCCCTGGAACTGGAGTTACAGATGATTGTGGGTGCTGGGAATTGAACTCAGGTCCTCTGGAAGAGCAGTCAGTGCTCTTAACCTCTGAGCCATCTCTCTAAGCACTCTTTTCATTTTTCATTTATTTATTGTTATTACCAGGTGTTTTTCAAGATAGGGTTTCTTTGTGTAGTCCTCTGTAGACAAGGCTGGCCTGGAACTCACAGAGATCTGCTTGCCCTGGGTGCCGAGTGCTGGGATTAAGGACATTCACTATCACCACCTGGCTGTACCCCTCTTTTTAAATTAATTATTTTATTTTATGTGCCTGGGTGTTTGGTCTGCATGTGTGTCTATGGAGCATGTGTCTGCAGAATCCAGAAGAGGGCATCAGATCCCCTGGAACTGGAGTTACAGACAGTTGTGAGCTGCCATGTGCTAGGTGCTAGGAATTGAACCAGGGTCCTCTGGGAGAGCAGTCAGTGCTCTTAACCACTGAGCCATCTCTCCAGTCCCTAAACCCCTCTTTAAATAAATTAAATTTTTTTCATCGCTGTTTTGCATTTTCCCAAAAACTTTTTTCTTTTTTTTTTTTTTTTCTTTTTGGTTTTTGGTTTTTCTAGACAGGGTTTCTCTGTGTAGCTTTGGAGCCTATCCTGGCACTCGCTCTGAAGACCAGGCTGGCCTCGAACTCACAGGGATCCGCCTGCCTCTGCCTCCCTGGTGCTGGGATTAAAGGCGCGGGCCACCAACGCCTGGCAGAAGATTGGTTTTAAAATTAAAAAGATGATGTAAGGGGCTGGAGAGATGGCTCAGGGGTTAAGAGCAATGACTGTTCTTCCAGAGGTCCTGAGTTCAATTCCCAGCAACCACATGGGCGGCTCACAGCCATCTGTAATGTGATCTGGTGCCCTCTTCTGGCACGCACTGTATACATGATAAATTAATTAATTAAAAAAAAAAGATGATGAAAAAAATTTAGGCTCTGAGCCTTGGAAGGCTCCACTATCAATGGCCGCTTTAGCCTCCCTGCTGGAGGGAGATGGCCATGGAGCTTTTATAGAGTCAGGGTATCTAGGGCAAGGGGGTGGATAGAGTCGATTCAGCCTCAAAGGATGCAGTACCCTTTACCAACCTAGGAAGGATGCAGAAAGGTATGTGACGTCATATGCACGCCGCTTAGTGGGTCCCCCACCCGTGTCAAGGCACCCGGAAGCCTGTTCAGTTTGTAGCATGCTAACGGTGTGTAAACAGTATGTAGGATGCCATGACCCAATGTGGACGCTTGTGTCGTTGCTGACTCCGGGGGATCGGGTCATTTATCTGTTCCCCTGCGGGTGGGCACGCGGGCTGGAGCGGAGGCTCTGCGTGGAGAACCCAGCAGCGGGCGCACTGGTGGTGGCTTTGCACCTGGGAATGGAAACGTTGGGCATTAGGGAGGGGTGTGCCCGGCTGTGTTAGTTTGCTAGCCCTGCTGTACCGAAGAGCCACAATCTGGCCACGTTAGCAGCAGACATACAGTCTCTCGCAGCTCTGAAAGCCGGGCTGTAACGTGGAGGGGCGGGCAGGGGCGCTG